TTTTTTTCTAGAATGGAAACACTAATATGTATGGTTTTTGGTATGTGACGGAATATACTTTTGAACCAACAGCCATCCGCTAAACCATCTTTTTATTGATAAAAATTAGTCTCTTTTTAAAAGTTATAAAACTAACTATTTGGATAAATTCCAGTTAATTTCTAAGCTAATTTTTATTCAAGTATCTGTTTAAAAAATCATTAACATAAAATCTTTATGTATTATTGCTGATGTCCCTTGGAGCGTATTTGACACAAAACCTTTGGCAGCCATTGCAACCGAGGTATTGCCGAGAAAGAATCTCACCTTTGCTTCTACGTGAAACTTATACCGTACGTACGTAAACTTCATGAAATGTAATGTTAAAACTTACTTAAACAAATATTAAGTTTTACAGTTTGACTTTCACTTAAAAACTGCAATGCGTCAACTTCTTCTAAATTTCTGATCTTAAGCATCAATATCCGTTAAAAACAATGTTTAAATAACTATTAAGTTTCGACAACCAACGTGCCTGCGAAGACGAGTGGTTAGCGCGCTGAGCCTCTGAACAAGAAAGCCGTGGCTCGAGTCCAAGAACCAGCGACTCTTTTTTTAAATCTTTTAGAATCTTTGAAAAACGTTTGTGAAATCAAACAAGTTAAAATGTAAAAAGTTATGTAACTTAAAACATACCTAAACATATATCAAGTTTTACAATTTGAATTTCACTTAAAAACTGCATTACGGAAACCTCTTCTTAATTTTTGATCTTCAGCATTTGTTTCCATTAAAAACATTTAATGATCTACAACATTTATTTTCAAAAACATTAAAAAACAGAGGATATTTGTTGCGTATTCGTCATGGCTGAGATACTTATGTTATTTTAGTTTTACATTTCAAGTTTTTTTACATCTAAGTTGAGTTTGTGCAAGAAAAATGAATATGCAACATATTTATATATAAAATATAACATCTAACAAACTGTAAAGTTGTTTTGTTTTGCATTTTAAAAAACAAAAAAAATAAATAAAGCAAGCTGGTGATTTGAACTTTCCACGCTGCGACCTTAACTTTTAAAAAACGGGGGTTTAAAAAGTTTTTTTTAAGGACATAATTAAAAATCTAGTTTTTTATTCAAATTAAACACTTTTATCAAACTAATTACTCTCAAAAACAATTAAAAATTAATATTGATACAAAAAGGAGATTTAGAGTTATACAGCTAATTTACATCGCCCCCGTTAAACATTAAAAACCGAGTGCGGAACAACAACATAATTTAGATAACAATCAAAATAGTATTACACTCTATTATATTTTGGATTTTTATACTTTTTATACTGATCCTTTATCTAAACTTTAAAATAAGGCATCGCCCATAAATTACTCAATGCTAAATTTCAAATTTGAAGAAAACAAATATGATCAAAATTTTTGCAAGAGTTGTATATTTAATAAAAAATATATATCGCTTATGTATATGAATATATATATATATATATATATATATATATATATATATATATATATATATATATATATATATATATATATATATATATATATATATATATTATATATATATATATATATATATATATATATATATATATATATATATATATATATATATATATATATATATATATATATATATATTTTAGTGAGTGTTACTTTGATAGTCAACAGCTCATCAGCAGGACGTTAACAAAACGTATAAGAGCTGACGTCGCACAAATATTATTTTAAGATTTTCGTTTACGTTCTGCCGATGAGCAGCCAATATAAAAAGTATGTAAAAATTACATCTTAGTGTATTTTTTATATATCAATTTTAGCTTTTTTTCAAAAATAACAATAAAAGTTTGAGCCTAATAGCTTTTGTGATTATCTCAATACATATAAAAGTGTCTTTCGAATTTAGGGTTCGTGATCCAAAACTTGGGTATAAGTGTAAAATTTTTATTTTTTTACTATTTTGTTATGCAATTTCCGAATACCAAGAAGGTCAACACTCTTTGGTAAAATAAACCATTTTTTGACAAACACATTAAAACTTTTAAATAAAATCAGGACCCTATGTGAAGTTAACATTTTCACAAATTAACCAATTTTAAATAGTACAAATCCATTTGGTTATTTTTTCATTTGAATACTTTTCCTAAGTTTGAAACTATGTAACTAAAAATTTAAGGTTTCTCCACTTGAGCTAAAGAAACATAAGCTTTAGTCATATTTAAAACAAAACGGAAAAAAATTTACCGCCTTTGAAGTCAGTTATCAACTTAAGAATTATCTTTTAATGAATTCCAAATCACCTTCAAATCACTAAAAAAAAAAAAGCTATCGCAGCTGATGGACTAAATGGTGACATAATTATCGAGTGTTTTGATCATCTCAAAAATATTCTTTATAAAGTTTATAAATCATCTGTCCACCAAGGAGTTTTCCTGATCGTCTAAAAATTGCAAAAGTTATTCCAATTTTGAAAGAAGGAGACTGTTGCAATATCAGTAACTATCGCCCTATATCTATCCTTTCTACCTTTTCAAAAATCTTAGAGCGTATTAAGTACAATAGAGTATACAATTATCTTTTCTCCAATAATCTTTTTTATTATAATCAGTTTGGTTTCAAAAAAAATAATTCTACCGAACATGCAATCATCCAATTTGTACGAGAAATCTCAAATTCCTTTCAAAGATCCCATTCCTTTCAAAGATGTTTTTATTGACTTGTCGAAGGCTTTTAATACTGTCGACCATGAAATCCTTCTTGAAAAACTAAAATACTACGGATTAAACTATATAACTATTAAATGGCTTCGTAGTTACTTATCAAACCGCGAGCAATTTGTTTTTATTAATAACTATAACCAAAGCCATCTACTAAATATTTCCTGTGGTATTCCCTAAGGCTCTATCTTGGGGCCACTTTTGTTCTTAATCAATATAAATAACTTAAATAAAGCTCACACTTAATGAGCATCATGTTTGCCGACGACACCAACTTATTCCTGACCAATAATGACATATCCAAACTCTTTTCTTCAATGAATGATGAACTTACAAACATACCTTGGTTCAAATGTAACAAACTAACTCTTAACATTAATAAAACCAAATGGGTTCTTTTCCATTCACTCTCTAAAAAACGCTATTTACCCCAACATTTTCCCAAAATATTTATTGATAAAGTTGAAATAAAAAGAGATTTTGTTACTAAATTTTTAGGAGTGGTTCTCGACGAAAACATTACATGGAAACCGCATATAGAATATATCTGCTCAAAAATATCTAAAAGTAACGGAGTCTTATATAAATCTAGATCATATTTAAACAATTAATTATGCCAACATTGCGTGGGAAAGCACCGAAAAAAGTAAGCTAAAATGCCTTTTTCGCCGTCAGAAGCATGCGATCCGATTAATTAATTTTGCGGATCGTTTTACTCATTCCAAACCATTGTTTATGGAGATGAAAATACGTAATATTTACGAGCTCAATGTTTATAACATTTTATGCTTTATTTATATGTGGAAAAACTTTACCTGTCTTTAAAAACCTTTTTTCTCTAAACCCAATTAATAAATATTTACTTCGAAATAAAAATTTTGTACATGAACCTATTTGCAGAACAAAATTTAACAAATTTTGCCTTACATTTTGAGCACCCTTTCTTTGGAAAAAAATAGTTATACCTAATTTTGATATATCCAATACATATCCGATCTTTAAAAGTAAACTTAAAAATTTTGTTTTATCTATTGATGATATATTTAAATACTTTTTATAACAATCACGTATTTGTCTTTTTAATTGTAAGACTGTTGTATTTTCTCTTGCCTTTTGAAAAAAGAGATGTATTACTCTATTTACTATGTATATATATGTATTTATATATGAACGTTTTTATAAGATCTGATGATATGATCAGACTTTTTATTATATATAACATTAGTGGTTTGATTTATATTTCCAATTTATATCACGACTTATTGTAATTTTTTAGTTTTGTTAATGTATTGATTTAAAAAAACTTGTAAAAGGTTCTGATGATAAGATCATTATGATCTTCTTTTAGAAGCCTTGTCTGTTTATCTTTGTAAACAACGACAAAAGTAAAACAAACAAAAAAAAAAAAAAAAAAAAAAAAAGAAAACAATAATCGTTTTCTTAAGTTGATAACCCAATATTTATTTAAAATATTTCCATATTTGAACATTTTGTTTTATAAAGTGAAATAAGTATAAAAACAGTTACTATATAAATAATAATAAATATATTAATATTTTATAAATAATAAATGTTTATAATACTTTTTTATCTCTAACAATAATGTTAAGAGAATAAACAAATAAACCTCTAAACAACACTGGTTAAACACTTCACCATTTAAATTTGATAAACTCTTCAAAATGCAGTTTTTTAGATAAATTAAATCATACTTTTTATTGTGAAATCACTAATTTTTGCAAACTCCACGTCGTCGTGGCAAAATATAAAGTTTTCCACTGTTATAATTATTGTAAGTTTTTATTTAATATAAATAGTGGAATCAACGATTAGTTATTAAAAGTTTACAATAATGAATTATAAATCACTTTATTTTTTTTTAAACTTGGGATTACTATAGTGGCAATATCCCCATGACAGAAACGCTTGTTTCACATGGGTTTTTATGTGGGTTCCATGTGGGATTCCTGAGAATCCGCAAGAAACTCATGTGGGGTAAGTAGTATTTTCACTAAAATATTGAATTATATTTCGCCATTATTTATATTAGAGGCAAAATATGGCTAATGGAATATCTTTCACAAAGCAATAAATTAATAAAAACTTACATTTTAATTAACACTTAACAATAATAATAATAATGATAATAATAATGCAAGTAATATTAATAATATAAATAATAATATTGATAAATCAACAGTAATAAACCATTTCAAAAAAAGTTTGAAATGGTGTATTACTTTTTAAAAAAATTTGAATTGGTTTATTATTTTTTTTTAGACCAAACTAATATCGATAGCTTGCTAGTTTTATCACGTGAATACGGAATAAGTAAAATCAACAATTTATGCGAAGAATATCTTTTACAAAAAATACCAACTGTTGACTTGTTAATAACTGCACAAGAGTTTGAGTTAGAAAGACTCAGAGAAAAATGCATTCAATACTTTTCAGAAAAAGCTTTAGAACCATTGCAAAATTATCCAAAGTATAACGAGCTGAGTAAAGAAAACAAACTGAAACTAGCTAAGGGACAGATTATGGTTTTGCGAAAGTTCTGTGAAAATGCTAAGTATCTTTCTTTTTCTTTTAATTTAAAAATAAATAAAAATAAGGTATGTTTTAATAAATTATCACAGTTATAGTTAGGACTATCTCACAGAGACAACATAAAATTTTTAGGTATAATAAGATTGTAAGTGGACATCGGCATGTGGCTGCCGATGTCCGCTTTTACTGTACATTGTAAAAAAAATAATTTTGAAATGCCGCAATATTGTGTTAACAGTGTAATATCATGACTAGTCACATGTACCGTAAAAAACTGGTTTTAAGGGTATGTGGTTGATTAATGATAATGATAGTATTAGATGAAACCAGAAACTTTCACCATGCCAAAAGGCATAACTTTATTCTTATAAACAAATGTAACATCAACTTTTATGCATTAAAAAAAAATATCTACAACAGATTCCCGTTTCATAAAACTACCCCAGAGGCGTTCAATAAAACAAGTTCTGTCCTTTTTAGCACCATGTCTCAAGGTAATCTAGTCTTATAATTGAGTTTTATAAGTTTTTTAGGAATAACATCTTGTTTTTATTTACAACTTATTCAGCCGAGCTCGTTTAAAACTTAAAATTAGTCTTAAAACGTCTCAAAATCTCACCTGCTTCGAAAACAATAAAACTTAGGCTAACCTTGAAAAGCAAAAGACTAACGTGTCATTGTCATTAAGTTTTTTAAAAAAATAGTTTTTACTACAATATATACTTTTTGATTAAACTCAAAGACTTTAATGGGTGGTTTTTCCTTCATAAATGAAGTCACAAAAACTAAATGTTTGTTATCACAAAAAGGTTTAAAGTGATTTGTGTGACGTGATTCACTGTACCCCAGTGAATCAATGATAACAGCTGTGAATTAATAAAAGTAAATAGGGCCGTGCTAAGCAACTTTGAGGCTGAGGAAGTAAAGACACTATACATTATTTTTTTGATATACTTTTATTGATTAGATTAATATAAAGTTAAAAAAATTGACATTTTGAAAATTGAGAAGAAAAAAAAAAGAGTTTTATTGATTACAAAATTTATTCAAACATCTAAAATAACCAAAAGATTAAAAAAAAAAAGTTAACAGAATACCTCATCCTAAGCTGTTAAGTCCACAGAAAAAATAAAATGACGAGGAACTCTAGTAGTCCCCACAAGTGGTATAGGTAAATTTTCAAAAACATTTGTTAGTGATATTTCAAAAATATGATCAATTTTTGGAAGAATGTAGGAAAAGAAAGTATTTTTTGTTAAAAAAATTCAAAAAAGTTCTTCCCATATATCCACTTTGCTTAATGCTAATAAGTTTAACAACATAAATAACTTAATCTTTTTTAGTATTAAGTTTGACTAAAACATAATCACTGGGAATTAATTTGCTTTGGTTTTGAAACAAGGTCTCATTTGTGAAACCACTGTTGCCATCTTTTTTACTATATGTTAAGTCAAAGTTCAAGAAAGTTACATAACCTGCTTTTTTAAATGGACTTTTTTAAATGAACAAAGTATATTTTTGCAAACTTTTAACAGGTATACGCACCGCAAAAATACCAAAAAAAGCACATCTCAGTTACTTTTTTTTTCAGATAACAATAACAACAAAACTATTTCTTAAAAATTTTAACTTACAAATAAAATTTTAAGAAATTGTTTTGTTGATATTGTGAACTGACCTTTTGTTGTTTTTTGTATGTGTACCCCAAAAACCACATTTAATTTATCGATTGAATCACTGCAGCTAGTGAACCTATGAAGCTGAAACTTGGCGTGTTTTATAATATTATTTGATCTGCTTTAAATAAAACCAGTTACCGCTAAATTAATTTTAAAGTAATTACCCGATGCACCACAAAAACCACAAGATAAGTGCCCCAAAAACAACATTGATGTTTTTAAAATAACATTTTATAGGCTCTACATATGTTCTCGCTTTTTACTATATTGATTGTATGCAATCTCTTGATTCTAAAGATGTCATTGCAGTGTTTTAAATAAAGTTTGCATCGTATATTATACGTATTAAAAATCAGTAACATTTTTAGAAAATAATAATTGCAAGAATTTTTTATAACTTACTTACTATTTGAACCTAGAGCAAAATTTATATTTTTACTTGAAAATTGTTTTTTATTATTTCGATATGTTTTGTAAGAAAATAATGTACTCTAAAATGTTTAACGATAATTTTTTTATTCTAATAGAGTTAGAAAAAAATAACATTGAAAATGAAGCCAAATATTCAACACAGACAGGAAAAGTTACAATCTATTCAAGGAATAAGTAAGCCTGAGGCATTAATTGGGAGAAAATTTATAGATGCATAGAATTTATAATTAGAAGAAGCTGTGCCAAGAATTTGATGATTACCTAACTGAGAAGGACCTGTTGTTTTATTATCTGACGGACATAGTTCACGATTCAGTTAAGATGGTTTAATATACCTCTTTTCAAAACAATTTTGATTATTTATTTCTCCTCACCACACTACTGGTGTAACTAAGTTGCTTGACCAGGTTAATAAAAATCTTTATCATGAGTACAGAATAGTCAAGAATTATCTTTTCAACCCATTGCAATGAATTAAGTCTTAGAGAGGGATTTATTACCATTTTAGGCAATATATAGGAGAAATGGGATTCAAAACCGGTTCTTGTTTCTAGTGCAAAAAGAGTTAGAATAACAACTTTTGAATTAAATGTTAACTTTATGCAATAATACAAATTTGAGCGAGCTGCTGCATGCATTCATAAGAAAGAACTAGTGTCAACTTCTTTCAAAAAACTATTTCGTAACCAGTTGTTAAAAGGAACGGTTCGGCTAATTACTGGAAAGATAAGTTTAATCAGTCTCAAATTTGATTAGAGAATAGGCTGAGCAAAGCCTCAAATTAGAAAATATTTCTGATCTACTAACTATTAAGAAAATCAAACCAAACCTTGAAAATTTATCTTATCGTATTATTCAGGCCTATGGTTCAATGCGTGCAAAAGATGTTGCAGCAAAAGTGAAAGATATAAAAAAAGAGAAACGACGAAAGATAACAGCAAATGAGGAAGCTAAAAAAAAAAGAAAGAAGAAGCTAAAAAAAAAATTTTTAAATGTAAAGTTGAATATTTTTGCAAATAAAGGAAATGTCAAGCTTTTAACTTTAAGCATTGTTCCAATTTACTGATGTTCTCCGTTCAATTTGCAGCAAAGTGAGTTGCAGAGTTGATGGTGTTAAACCGGTTATGATTTTTCCAGCAAACCAGCATTTTTCCACATCCATAAGACTGATATAAGACCATTATAACAAATGCAACAACAATCAATAATTTCTTTTTGAATTAAAGTAATCAGTTAATGTACTTTTATATTTATCTATGTTGTCTTAACATTGTTGTAATAACCTATTGTTATAATATTTTCAAAGTCTGCAGCCATTTTAGATGTCTGTGTTATTACTGCTTCAAATACTGTTTTTAAGATAAATATATATTATTACCTTAAAAAAATTAATAAATTCAATAGTAATTTAGTTTTTTATTTCAAAACAGGGTCTACAAAGGGTGTTATAAAGATTTATAACTACTTGAAAAAAAAACTTTTTTCAGTATATAGCTATAATCCATAGGCAATAGAAAAAATATATATAGCTAACTTATTCTCTGAAACGGCTTCAAGGCTCCTACAAAACAAAAAAAACTACGTTTTTTTATAAATAAAATTTTTACTCAGAGGCAAATACCAAAGTATTTAACAAATAAAAAAACTAAAAAAACTGCCTTAATTTTTAGGCTGACATATTAGCTATTATTAGATATTGCGTTTTTTGAATCCTGAATTTTTTTCTATATGCTAGGTCACTTAAGCCAACATTGTTGTTTTTGCGGTACATATACCTGTAGGCTGAAATTTTTAACTGCAATTGATTATTGCAATTCTGCTTGGTCTCATTGTTTTTGTAAGTTTATATATTTTTGTTTGGCGAAGTCATTATTTTACAGGAGTACAGTAGGACAATTTTGAGGTTGAAGTTCCAAGCATTGTTAATTCTTTGATCAGGTTCAAAGTTTAACATTATGATATGATGGGGTCTTTTGGTTATGAGCTTTTTTTTTTTCCTTATTTATTTAGCCGTACTATTTACAAGTTCCATATTTTATAATATACTAGCTGAGATGGGACCGGTAAAAATACGGGTCTTTGTAACTCTATTGCAAATCGGACTTTTTAATACTTTTTTCTTATATATCCTAGCTTTTCGAATCCGTAAAACACGGGTATTTATCGAACCTACTATTTCTATGCATGCCTATTCCACACCAATTATTTTTTTACTTATTCCTTTTTTACTTTGATACTTTTAAGTAAAATAATTTTGTTCTGAAAAACAACTTTAAGAGCTAAAAAATAGATAGACTATAAAACGCTATGGACTCGCCCGCAAATTACGCAACTAAATTTATTTTTTAAAAAGTAGAAGAGATCTTCATTTCTTTAGGATAGCGATTTTTATTAAATTTAATGAGCTATATAGATTTTTTATTTAACATACGACTCTGCGAGAAAAAATTTAGATAAAAAAAAATTAAGTGAAAACGAAAGGATTTGAACCCACGCGAAGCACTTTAACCACTTTGACATGTTTTAAAGGAATAAATAAAATTCTGTATTGTATTAACGTAATTAATCTATTAACTGGAAATCAATTTATTTATACATAATAGCAAAGCAATATATAAAAAAAAAGTATGTTTAAAAAATAAATTCAACTAAATTTGCATTATCAATAAAGGATTGGTAGATTAATCAATATTTGGTTTAAATGGTAGAATAACCAACTACATAAATACTAATTCTAGACGCAGCGTTTTTTTTATCTATTGCTCGCACTTCTCCTCAACATATGTAGATATATATATATATATATATATATATATATATATATATATATATATATATATATATATATATATATATATATATATATATATATATATATATACATATATATATATATATATATATATATATATATATATATATATACATATATATATATATATATATATATATATATATATATATATATATATATATATATATATATATATATATATATATATATATATATATATATATATAATATATATATATATATATATATATATATATATATATATATATATAAAGGTAGGGATGCTTTTGCCCTAAATTTGAACCCAGACCTTGTGAGATGTGAGCCCTCTATTCGTTCTGCAAAATGCTAAAAAGGGATTGTAAGATGTCTAAAATAAAACAAAATTAAATTAAATGACATTAAAAAATTAAAAAAAGGATAAATAACACTGCAAACAAATCAACCTGTTGCTGATTAAACTATCAAAATCTGTAGAAAAAAAAAAATTACTTTATGTGTAACAAAAAAAATTTCTTATAATTAAAAAAAAAAAAAAGGCTACTCGACCAGAAAACCAAATTACTTTTACCTTGTTTGCAAAAGAAACTAATTTCTATTCAAACTATTAGCTAATGATCAACATTGTAATCTTAAAATAGTTAAAGCTTACTAAGTTAAAACCATATTGTAACAGTAAACAAAGTAAACATATAATAGTCTGTGGAGTACCAAAGCAGAACTAAAGAAATAGAATAACAACTAAATTTAAAATATTTTTAATACATAATACTTACAGTTAAAAATATAAAAAAAAACTCTACCTCTACCAAAAAAACTCTACCACAAGATAATGAAGGTAAAGTTATTAAATCGAACAAAAAAAAAAAAAAGAATTTTTAAAAATGTTAATTTTTTCTTAAGTATAATCTTTTTAATTAAAAACAATATTATTTTCTTGAACAGATAAGGACACATAGATAAAGAACATTTCTTTCATATTAATTTTTTTAAAGGTCATTAAAGTTCTTTCATATTGCAAGTACTTAATAGACCTATAAATACCTGCGATAACCGGTAATTATGAAAGTTAAATGACAATATAAAAATTTTTAATGACAATATATTTTTTTGACATGGAGAACCATAAACACTGCCACAGCAGCTCTTGAATCATTCCAATACTTTGCATGTTCTGTTGACTTAAATTTTGATGGTGTTAAGTGTAAAAACAAAATGTACAACTTTCAACAATTTTTTTTTTTTTGTAAACTTAACTCCATTTTTTTTACTAAATAATATTAAAAGAAAAAGGAAAATTTAAAAAACAGATTAATAAAAATATATATATAAATAAATACATTTAAATACCTCTTTTATTTGTAAATGTAGTTATGTATTTTCCACTGCCCACTCTAACTTCTCAAACTGTACTTTTGGTAAGGGTAATTCTTTTCCTTTAATAAATAAAGGGGAAATCTTATTGCCTATTCTAGATTTAGAAGACTTTGTTTAGAGCTTGACTATTGTGCCCCTACACTTTGAAACCCATGCCATAGGACAGAAAAATACAAACTGCGATTTCACAACAACTTAGAAAATCAAACACATTTTATTGAATTAACAAAGTTAATGTATAACGTCATTACATTAAAATAAATACAAACTTTAAACTTAAGATAAAGATTTATTCGAATTTTTAAAACTAACAATATATAATAAACTATGGCACTAAAATTAAAATAACAATCAAATAGTTATTGTTATTTACTATTTAATTACTTAGAAACTAAATAAAAAAAAAGCAAACGTAAATTTTTTTAAGAGTAAACTTGAAAGATTTTTTAAAAGTAAATTTAACTTATTGAAATCTAACCTGAATACCACCACCAGTCAATAACAATGTACTAAATAATTAGATTCATGTAAAACATGATTGAGTATCTAACAAAAAAAAAAGCTATAAAAAATAAAAAACAACTTTTATCTAAAATTATGATTAAATGATTGATGATTAAAGAGATATTCAAAGATAGTTAGAGATTTATAAATACTTATCGTGTGCACATCTACAGCGTCTCGTGCATCACATGTTAATTAAGTCATCCATGTTATTGATGAGCTCTCGGTTTAGAATGTTTAACAGGGACATTGTTAAATAGCTGTAAATCTCTAAATTTTCTTATTGTGTTAATATTAAATAGTTTTAACTTTTAGTTATTTTTAAAAACAATAAATTTTATAAAATAGTTTAGTTTAAAAATAAAACTAAAATTTTTAATTATGTTCTTTATCATAATAATAGATTTTAAACCCCCTTAAAGTTTTTAAAAAGAGTTAATGTCGCCGCGTGGCAAGTTCATCAGCTGGCTTGTTTTGTTGGTTAAAATGCAAATCAAAAAACTTTATTGTTCTATAGATTTTATATTTTATATAAAACATGTTGCTTACTAATTTTCCTTGCACGAACTCAACTTAATTGTAAATAAACTTGAAAATTTAAACTAAAATAACATAAATATGTCAATAACGACACATACGCAAAAAAATTAAAAATAAAAGTTGCCGGTGGAAAAACTCGAACCACGGATTTCTTGTTTAGAAGCTCAGCGGTCTAACCACTTGGCCATGCAGGCGCGTTGTTCATTGCAATTTTAAAACTATATAAAAATGTTTTTAACAAATATAGATGCTAAAGATCAGAAATTAGGAAGAAGTTGACGCAATGGAGTTTTTAAGTGATAATCAAACTGTAAAACTATGCTTAAGCATGTTTTAACATTACATAACATGAAGTTTACGTACGTGTGATATAAGTTTCACGTTTACTCACGTTTTCTTATTAAGCAAAGGTGACACACTTTCTGGCCAATACCTCAGTTGCAACAGCTGCCAAGGGTTTCGTGTCAAGTTCGCTTAGTAGTAGTAGTAGTAGTAGTAGTAGTAGTAGTAGTAGTAGTAGTAGTAGTAGTAGTAGTAGTAGTAGTAGTAGTAGTAGTAGTAGTAGTAGTAGTAGTAAAAGTAGTCGTCGTAGTAGTAGTGTCAAGGGACATTACTACTATTACTACTACTACTAAAACTATTAAGTTCGGCAAGAATATATAATATATAGATAGACATAAAATGGCAAGGTCGAGAAGAAGACAGGTTCGCCTTATTACTAAGTCCCTTGCTTTTTCAAGACATTTATATAAATATGTTGCAACTAAAATTAAAAATTAAAAATGGGCGAAAAAAGCAAAATGTTTCAAAGACGTTCATACAAAATGCAAGATAGTTTAATTAAGTCTTTCGAAGTTATTTTTAATTAAAGTTAAGGAAATAATTTAATCTCAATAACATGAAGGTTAACTACGGTATCGCAATGCGGTTTATATTCAAATTTTAAAATTATTTATTGAAAGAAAATTTAATATTCCATTCAAGAAAACAAAAACCAACATTATCAACAAAAAAGAAGAAAGCATGAAAAAATGAAAACATAAAAGTTAATTTACAATCAAAAGATACTATATATGTATATATATATATATATATATATATATATATATATATATATATATATATATATATATATATATATATATATATATATATATATATATATATATATATATGTATATATATATATATATATATATATTTATGTATATATATATATATATATATATATATATATATATATATATATATATATATATATATATATATATATATATATATATATATATATATATATATATATTTATGTTGCAACATATTTATATAAATGTCTTGAAAAAGCAAGGGACTTAGTAATAAGGCGAACCTGTCTTCTTCTCGACCTTGCCATTTTATGTCTATCTATATATTATATATTCTTGCCGAACTTAAAAAAAAGATTCTCTGTTTGTTTGTTATTTAAAAGCAATAGTTTTAGCTTATATTTAAACTGTTCAAAATTTGAAAGTGCTTTAATAGCATTGCTAAATATCTTATTCCATACATTAGGTCCTCTATTAGTTAATGAGAACTTGGTGGACTCATATATAGTTTTGGATTGAACAAAGTCGTTATTCAAATATTTAGTCATGTATTTATGTTGAATGATATTAAATAATGATTTGAAGATATTTGGTATTGTATTATTATTAGTTTTATACATAAAAATTAGCAGATGATATATATTTAATTAGTAAAAATTTAACTTTTCTAGATTGTTGAACAATGGTCTAGAATGTGAGAGGCGGAGTGCATTTGATAAAAATCTAATTGCATGCTTTTGTTTGCCAATTAGCTTTTTTGTCTTTATTTGTGCTGCACCAAGCCATATTTGCATAATTAAAATAGAAATAAATAAGTGAGTAAATTTATGTATTTCAAACGTGTTTGATCTAAGTATGGTTTTTTTTTATAGAGTAATCCGATATTTATATAAATTTTAATTTCAATCATATTTATGTGGTCTTTCCATTATATGTTTTCATCTAGAACTGCATCTAGAAATTTCATTGAATATTCTCTTTTTACAATGTATTCTCCAAAAATAAGCTTTCGAAGTGCAATACGGATTTTATCTTTTTATGAAGGTAATGAAAGATAGTATACTTGGTTTAAGTTAAATTAATTGAAAGTTTATTCATATTTATTCATTCGATTAGTTTTAGAAGTTCAATTTTGAACGCTTTAAATAATGTTATTGTATCACTATAAGAATAAAACAAAATTGTGTCATCAGCAAATAAGATAGAATCTAGAAAATTAGAAGTTTTACATAAATCATTAATATAGACTAAAAAAAAAAAGTGGTTCTTACATAGAGCCTTGAGAAACGCCGCAAGTAATTGTCATATACTTAGCTTTTTCATTTTTCGAATTAAATATATTGTTTTCTACTAGATAAGTAGCTTTTAAACCAAGCTATGTTTATATTTTTTATTTCATAGTTTCCTAACTTTTTAGTTAAAATATTTTGATCAACAGTGTCGAATGCCTTACTAAGGTCTATGAAAACACCTAAAGTTAATTAGTTTTTATCAAAACCTTGAAAATCTGAATGAGATGAAGAATGGAATGATCAGTAGAGTGCCCTGTTTGAAGCCAAATTGTTTGTTATAAAGAATATTATTTTTTTCTAAAAATGAGTATTCTTTGTCATACATAATGCGTTTTTGTATTTTTGAGAAGAAATAAAGTATGGAAATAGGTCTATAGTTCGAAATGTTAGTCTCATCTCCAGATTTAAAAACTAGTATTACCCTTGCAGTTTAAAGTTTTTTTGCAAAGATTCTTTCTTTAAACAAAAGATTAAATATATGCAAAAGAACTTTTTCAATATAGAAAACACATTTAACTATAACATTACTACTAACATTATCAAGTCCTTGTGCTTTGTTTAATTTTAATGAATGCACAGTATCTAGCAATTCTTTTTCTAGGAAACTAGTATTTCTCCTTGTTAAACTCACTGTGTTATAATTATGATGCTAAATTTAAACCTGCAGTTTTTTAGGAAGACCATTTAGCTATAGTGGTTTTTTTTTCCAATTACCTCTTCTTTAACTTGCCACGTTTTTTGAGTATCACCTATAAATTTTATTATTCGATTTGAATAAATATAACTTCTTTGAAAGATTTATAATAGATTAAAAATGTCGTTCATACTTTTTATACCTTAATTCATTTTCATAAGCTCTTTTTTTTCAGAAACACTTCATACAATCTTTTTTTTTTTTATGAATTTATTATTCCTGGTGTAATCCAAGGGTTATTAGATGTTTTAGTTTAATTATTTTTGTTACTACCGGGAAAGCTTTATCATAATGTTTTTTTAATATGCGAAGAAAATTGTCATAAGCAGTATCTGTGTTTTAAATTTGCAAAATTTCGTCCCAATTTTCAGAAATTAGAGCATTGTTAAAAAGTTCCATAGAAATATCATTATATATTAAATTTGTAATAATTATTTTTTTTTGAGGGGTGTGCTCGACAACCTTATTTGCGAATATAAATATTGGGAAATGATCCGATATACCAGTTATTATTGTTCTAGTTTTTTTTTTTTTTTTTTTTTTTTTTTTTGTATATTCATTAATTATTATTTGATATTTGCGCAATTCCTAGTAACTCGTGTTGATTTATTTATTGTTGAAATGAAACCATTTTTAAATATGATGTTCATAAAATTTTTTATATTTTATTTTTTGTTGTTATCAAGCACATTATAATAAAAATCCCCCACAAAAAAGGCAGGCTTGCCATATAAAATTTTATTTTTAATTAAATTTTTTAAGTGTTTTTCAAAAAATTTGTTATTGCCAGACGGCGGCCTCTACACAACATGTACAATGATGTTTTTAGTGATTTCATTTATAACTGCGATCGTTAATAGTTCGCAATCATTACTAGTTTCACTAAATTCGGTTAGTGGTTTAAAAATTAAAAAGTTGTGAATAAAAATACATACTCCTCCAACTATTGTCTCAGAATTTTTGACTTGGTGAATAACTTTATAGTTTTGTAGTTAAAAAATTTGAATTTTTTTAAACTTGTTTATCTTGACACCAGGTCTCTGTCAGACAAATAGTTTTAAAACTAATTTCAACACTATATAAAAAATCTTTAAATTTATCAAAATTTTTTGAAAGCTTCTAATATTAAAGTGTAATTTAGAGAACTCATTAATATCTATATAAGCAGAAAGATTAGAAATATCGGAATTATAATAAGAAGGGCATATGTTGCTAATTATTTCATCAGTGTTAAAAAAATTAACATTTGGATCTGAATGATTCTCTAAAAGTATATTTTTATTTGTCTGGAAACCCTTAAAGCTTATTTCACAAAAATTCATATCTTCCATAACAACAAGAAAGGTTATACTAACAAAATGTTTAAAATATAAAATAATTAAGTTTTAGTAGGTAATTTGCTGAATTCATTTACTTTTAATTTATTGTAAATTATAACCGAAAACATTTGATATTTCCTATGTACCTTCTTTTGCTCGAGTAGTTTTTTCCTGATAGATGCAGTTTCCAATGAATAATCCTCATTGATATATATTTTAGTTTACTCGCACTTTTCAAAACTTTTACTTTACCTTTGTAATTTAACAGTTTCATTACTATTGATCTCGGTCTACCTGCTTTAGTTTTTCCTGACCTGTGTGCTTGTTCAATTACAATTCCTTTTAAAAAGGTTTTTTGTTTCAAAATATTTAATACCTTTAGTTCGGTTTCATCCCAATTTTCTTTTTCATTTTCCAATAAACCCTCTAATCGAAGATTATTCCTCCTTTGTCTATCTTCAAGCTGCCTTAGTTTATTATTTTCCGTGTCTTTGCTCTTTGATTTTGATATGATTTTTTTTTTCTAACTCGAGTTTTTTTTTTTGCATACCTTGTGTAAAGTTCAGACTTTCTTTTATGTCTTTTTGCACAACTTCGTTTTTGTTTAATCATTTAACGTAATTTTTTTGTTCCTCTTTAATTAATATGTTTTCTTTTTGGAGCGTCGCGCACAAATCTTTTACAGTATTTATTTCTTTTAGCAGACCATCAATTCTATCGCTTGTTAGTTTCAGATTTCCACTTATTAGTTTTAGAATATCATTTTGTTGCCTTATAAACATTTCGTTAAATATATCCCGAACAGGCTATATTGAAATAATTTGTTCCTCGTTTGATAGTTTATCCTTGATGTATTACTTTATTTTATTTGTGTTATTTTTTCCGTTAATAATTCCTATTTTTTAAAATACATAAAAAATAACTTTGTAATCAATATTGGATTGTTCTATTGGACAATCAGTGACATAAAAGCTTAGAAAGTCTTTATCGCTAAAATTAACTTGATTAAATGGAAAACTCTCTGTAGATTAAAATCCTGAATCTATATTTTTATACGTAAATGCTCAAGAAAACACAATAATAACCAAGCTTGAAGTGTAATAAATTGTTATGGGTTTACCTGGATTGTTTACCATAAAAAAATTTGCAGCATAACTAAAAAATTTTTGAATGGTTCATTGACAGTTCTGTCTAACAGTTGTAGCTTGTGGCTGCAGTGAGGTGGCAATATTAAAACGAAAGCGTAATAAAGTGTTTAATAAAGAAATAAAAAATATCAGCTGTCATCCAACCTGACACGTAGTCTGTATCATCTGTTCTAGGTGGAGCGCTGTCTATTATTAAGTCTTCAAATGTACCCTAGGAAACACCGTAAATGATGGCATTGCTTTTCCAGCATTTACTGCGACAAGCATTGTAATCAGAATACCCCTCTCAGCTGAAGCAATTTTTTCTGCTTGCTCATCTCTTTTACAGTCAATTAATTTTATATTCCCCACTTTTTTTACGGTAAAATAACCGGACTAATCGGCATTATAGATGTCATTAGGATTAAAAATGTAATTTCTAAGAATTTTATTCAGATTTAAAAAAAACCTGCAACTTTTGTTTGTTTTTTAACTTGTTACATGTGACAAACTGGTTGTTTATAGTCTATTCTAGCCTATTATTCATAAAACTATACAATTAATCTTCTCTAGCAGTCAAATTTTTTGTCTATGATTGTGGAACAACTTTTTTGTTGTGGCCAGTAAAAACATTAGATAATTTTTTAGTTGAGTGCAAGTTAAGTCATAATGTATCCTGAAGACCGTCACTGTGTAAGTTTTTAACAATATTTATTCTTCGTTAATTAAAATCTGTCAGCATCTGTGTACTTTACTTCATCAAGACCATATTGTTTAGCTATATCAACATGCAGTTGTCAACTTGACAATGCAATTTACTATGTTTGCTTAAATTAAATATGCTTTGCTTCTTTTTAATTACCATACGCACTGCATCCTTCATATTTACAAAACTTGTGCTACCAGTTTTTTTGTCAATCTGTTTTTAGTTTAGGACAAAAGCAAAAAAAGCATAAAGAATCATAAATGGCTGTAATAAAATTATGTGGGAAATATTTTGTAAAACTCTTTTTTCAGAATAATAATACAAATAAAATATTATAAAGCTATAATAAGGTAATACTTTAAAACTTCTATTAATTCATGAAATTAAAAAAAGCAACTCCAAATATCATTTTATCTATATTACTCATATATCTAAAACTTGTTTAAAAAAAATTAATAGAAAACATAATAAAACAATATTTCATAAATTGAAACTAATATATTTATTTTCATCTAATTTGTTTATTATAAATGCATGAATTTAATCTAAATAAAATTTAAGGTCATTAATAGGCACTGTGAATCAACCAATTCACTGGACCCCAAGTTACTGAGTCCTACCATAACAAATTATCTTTAAGTCTATTTTCTTGGTGCATAAGTGTTATTAAAGGAAAAGCTAAACTACCTAATGGAAGCATAAATATCAGTTATCCTAATGTAATAAATTAAGTTTCAACCATCTCCATGACAAACATAAGGAAGGTAAGAAAATTTACTTTAGTTAGATAAAAACAAAAATTAGCTACTAACTAATAGTCAAAATTTATTTCGTAACAGCTATAAATAAAGAGGGCTGTTATATGAGAACAAAAAATAATTACATTATCATTACACAAAATTCTAATTTTTGAGAAAATG